CCTGCATACCTAGTGGCAACCACGAAGGCACGTGCAGCGGCATGCGATGTAGTGGAGGCGAGAGATGCAGTGCAAGAGCAATGCCGCGACCATTGCTGAGCTCGACGTTTTTGCACTTGCCAGATATGCCAATTTGCCCACTTCTTGCGTGATGGATTGGTGGTTGTTTTGTTTTGGTGTTAAATGTCCAGGTTTCTGTTTGTGGCCCTGCATTTTCCCTTATATTTTGAATTCCTTTCTTGTCGTTTTTCGTTTCTTCTGCGTTATCGCTTTGAATATTTTCCTTTTTTTCACGCCTGCATCTCGATCGTTTACATACTCTACTCTGCTCTTTTTTATTACGTATTTTCCCCTTCTTTTTATTGCTGCCTTTTTGCTACATTTGTTTTTTTCGCCTTTTTGTCAACCTTTACTTCCCTTTCATTCATCACAACATTCCAAGCAGCCTCATTTTCAACTCAGCTACCTTATTTCTCGTACACAATTTTTTCGCTCTCTAGTTCTCTAACTACACTTAGTCCACAACACCGCGATTGGCATTGCTGTTGCAACATATTCATCAACTTTCGACAACTACATCATCCAGCCGCCTCTAATGCCTACTGACATTTGTGGGCATTCGTCGATTTGAAGTTCAAGGCGGCCAGTCACCCTACAACTCTTCTTTGGTTTCTTCCTTGAATGCTTGGTTTCCGTTCTCCACATATCCCTCTCTTTTACATCTTTAACTGGTTTATATTAGTTGCCTTTTTTAATTTTTGCTCTTTTTTGACAGCATTTTCTCCCTTTGGTTTCGTGTGTTTTTTCAAGCCGACTTTTTTTTAAATTATTTTTTGTTGTTATCCAGCCGTCTTGTGTTTACCCTGTCGCCCTTTTTACTTTTATGTAACCTATTTTTTCATTTATTTTTTTGCTTCTGGAGTCCTTTTGATAGTTTTAAATTTTTATTATCACTGATTGATTATTTTGGACCACTGTTGTCTTAACTGTTCTCTTCATTTCGTCTTCCCCTAATCATTCTTTTGACCTCATTACTTGTTTCTGTCTGTTTCTCTTAACTGATAAAAATCCTTAATGTCGTGTAGAATCAGGTGTAATTTTTTTCCTCTCTTTTTTCTTCACAGCGGTGAAATTTTATTACAAGTTATTTAAGAAGAAAAGGTTGCTTTTTTATACCTACAGGCGGGTTTCGCATAGGTATCGTCATCAGCAGCATCATCGCAGCGTCCCCAAAATGCAGCCTTTTTGCCCCCTAGTATATTACCACGTGTCCCCGGATTCGTTCCTACATGTGTTAGGCTGCTTTAACTATCATTTAAGCTGCCTACACTAATCGACATATGCCTAAAAAGCACACCATGACACTCCGTCTCTTTGGATCTGGCTATCGTGTGTAAAATCGGACATTTATTTCCTGCCTATCCCATCTTGATTCTAACTTGTCAAGCATAATATTCACTCGACTATTTATATATCAATCTATTTTTAATAGGGCATTCTGAAATAAGTGAATAAGTATATGTGAATTGTCTTGAGTGGCAATACGCATACTGAGATAGCGTAATCAAGTAGGAGGAGGAGGAGAAGGAGTACATGGATAAGGGAGGTGTTTGTATTTGTGGGTGTTGAGGAAAGACCTGAGTGTACTTAGCAACAACGCCATTTAGGATTATACAAGAGTGAATTTCTCCAGCTTGTTTTGTCCTACTTGGATCATCGTTTTGTAGGGCTCCCACCTAGTTGGATCAGAGTTCGATGGGACCACAACCGTGGGAGGCGAACCGTTTTCTCCCTCGTCTTCCACACCCTCTTCGGACGTGGCTGGACTTCCTCGAGATCCCGTCTGCTGCTGCTCCTGCTTTTCCCCTATAGAAACCGACAACCCCCGAACATATAGTCGACTTTTTGTGGCAATGGCAGAGTGAGTCGAACCTCCATTACCTTCAGGGTCTGATTTTGGCGAGGCAGTCTTTTTACCGACTAATGCGTCAGCACATATGTGCGACAACAAAGCCATAGGTGGTGGTGGTACAGGACAGGCGAAGTTCGTTGCTGACGGATGATCCAATGACGATCGTCTTTGTTGATTGCTTGTCGACCATTTATGGGGAGATGCTCGGGTTGTAGGGACTGGCAGTGGAGGCTGGGGATGCTCCTTGTCGTCTAAATTAATATCTGTTGCTCCGCTCAAACTCCCACCCTTTCCACTGCTCCACTCCGAGCCCGAGCTAGGACCCCTGCCAGAATCACGGTCCTCAATCTCATACACCGCAGGAATCGAGGTGAAGGAGGTTTTGACTGCTGTTGCAGGGGGTGCGTGAAGATCGAACTGGGGGGACGGAAAAGCACTATGGGTGTGTATCGGTTCCGAAGCCGTGTCACAGACAGCAGAAGTAATGCTGATTTGTGCACCTGAGCCCGGTCGCAGTTCGTCTGAGCTTGTCATAAAAACTGGAACTTCCGACGTTTTAGTGGAGAAGTCCTGCGAATGTGTGTGCCGGGGACTTACGTGGGGTAGGCGCGGAGTACTCTCTGGGCAGGAAAGTGAACAGATGATCCGCGGAACAAATCCAATTGGACCGGTTCCGAGTCTGTGGTCTGTGCACCACTTCTGAACGAGAAACCAACCTGTTGTTGGTGAGGTTTTCTCGGGACTCGTGCCCGGGTAAGGAATAATGCGTAATAGGTCGCCGCGGTGGACACTAATAACTTTGTATTTTTCAATCCACTCCAAGGTCGGAAAGAAGTCTTCAACTGCTCTGGCTAGGGACTGTACAAAGGGAGGGTCTTTTGAAGAACTTCTTCCAGGTATGATTCTAGGGAATGCAGTGCCACTCATGCTGAGTGTCTGTGGTCGCGCGAATTGGTGATTTGAAGGGAACTTTGTCATTACTTGCGGGGTACCTGTCGGTGGGACAACCATTGACTGGTGGTGTTGGTGAGGGGTTCTTTTCAGCTGGGGAGTAGACTGGATAGGCGTCGCACTCCGCAAACTCCCACCAGCCTTCATTTTCCAACAGAGGTCAAATTCGTTCTCGCCCTCACTTGAGGAGCTACTCGAACTCGACTCGCTTGAAGTCGACTCTGAAGAAAACGCTGCACTATCTCGCCGATGCCGTCTTGATGACTTCTGCCTTCGTCGGTGACAAGAGGACTTAGTCGGCGAGCGAGACATCTCAAAGCTTGAAGACGTGTCAGAGCTGGAGAGACTGCTTCGTGGAGGATTGGCTGTTGATGTTGACGTTCGCTTGCTCGCCTCCTCAGCGTCCTCCTCGCTGCTATCACTCAGATCATCCTCATCCCCAGTTGACAAAGAAAGCCACTGGTTTTCAGCAGCGGCTCGGGTAATCATCGACAGAGTCAGGCTGCCGGTAGCTCGATTCGGTTTCATGTGCCTTGCTGTTGTGGTGACAGGATTAGCTGGAGGGGACGGACTGGCAGAGGCCTGCCACACCTGGGTCGGTTGAATTGACTCAAACGTCACCATGGCTGAACACGACCGACGCGAAGACGTACTCCTTGTCCGCATGGAGCCACCCATTCGAATGTCATCTGTAAGGGGACGAGAGGAGCTTTTCCTCTGGTGGAATTTCCGCTGCTGGCGAACGTCGGGGGTGGCCGATTTGACTTCAACATCTAGTGGCTCCCATTTCGTGATGGGATGCTCAAGTGCTTCGCTTCGATGCGACCGCTGGCTTGATTTTCCCTTTGACTTTTTTGTTAACACGTGAAGCATTGGTCTAAAATGTGAGAAAAGTAAAACTTGGTAACTAATTTATAGGATTCAACACGTTATTATCAACCTTGGTTTCACGGAACTAGCAAACATAACATTAAACATGTCAGGAAAGTCGAAAAATAAAATTGCAAACGCCAATTTAATAATATGTTATCTTTGCTTAGCCAAAAGGTATAATTCTAAAACAAGGAATTTTGCATAATTTTTCGAAACGAAAATTTGTTTACTAGGTTCCACCATTTTTGTGATTTTAGGGTTAAAAACAAACAGCATTAAAACAATAATAAACTTCGAAGTTCAATCGGCAAACTGGATGAAATGTACAACCAGAAAACTTGTAGACTGTAGCCTGTGGCCTATTCACCCACCTGACCAAATAGTCATACGACTGTCACAAACTGGCCAATCATGTTGATTTACTTGGACCAGTGAGACATGTTAAATGATTCATTATTTGCTTTGTTTCATTGTTCGGTTTTTTTTCTTGTGTTTTGGACCACTCAAGAGACGCCGGACGTGTCTAGTCCGACCAAACGACGCGCCTACAGAAACTCAAGCTTAATCTACATCAAGAATTGTGCCATCACTTAGCAAATTTCGACAGAGCAACAATGTTAGTGAAGCCATCCCCTCAATTAAAAAAGTCTTAGTTTTAAGCAACTAGAATAATTAAAATCTAAGCCATCAGTAGGCATGCACTGGCCTCCTAGTAATTGTTGGTGTTTTGTAGCAAAAACTAATAACAGGATATTTCTGCGTTAAAAATTCGTCAGTTGACATAGATTAATATGACCTATTTAAAGAATTCTCTATTCGTGTCACATAATTATAATTAGACAAAAAATCTGAACATTGTAACTCAAGCAAAACAAAAATTTGATAGTTATTGTCGCGATAGATTCAAGTCGACATATTTTCAGCTTTTTAACAGAATTTTTTTATTCCGTCAGCGTAATTTAGATCAAATCCAAAGAAATTAGTACATCAAGAAACCTCTAAATCTCCACCTAAATCCCTTTGTATTAGTTTAGCCGGTATAGATAAAACATTTTCTGATCTCAACCAAGAACGTAAAGATTGGCAAATGCTTCAAAAAATTGTCATTCTAATTCAACAATGGATACTCTTGAACCCAAATGTTGTTCTGCATTAAATTTTCGTTATTTTTGACGTGTTTAAGAAGAATTCTAAGAACTGTAGTCTGATCGGCATATTCTGACCCTGCAAAAATTCAAATATTCGATAGGAAAAAGGCAACAAGAGTGCCTGCCATCTGTTACTCACTCGTTTCAAAGAGTTAAACCCTAAGCATCAGGTTTTTTTTTCAAAATCCGGGGTAAAAAGCTTGCAACTTATCAAAGACTAGCAGCTTATAAATCCAGTGCCGTCATCTCCAAACATGTGCTGACACCTAAATGATTTTATAACCCATAAACGATGTGCCCAACACAACTTAGGCTTCAACCGAATGCGTCTGCATATGCTACACATATGTCGATAAATTACTTGAAAGATACATCTTCCTAGCCATCTGATCCTCGTACTTTGGACACGTCCAATGCTTGTGGTCTGCATGTCATCATAAAGTGTGTTTTTTAAAACTGACTTCGTTCTCAGTTTACCAGCAATAGCTGCTACCACTCTGCCTTCTTGCACAACATTATAATTATGGGTTTGGGTTGCTTTAAAACATTGTACGGATGTGTGCTTGTTTGCCGGCTGGACACTGCAAAACTCTCCTTCCAGGACACCGACATCGAGTTAATTAAAATGGTAATTAACTCTTCTTTTAACTCCTCAAAGTGATGCGAGAACCGACGCTAAGGGAATTCTTCCGGCATCACATAATGCAAGCTGCACAAAATCGCAAATTGTGACGGCAGTAGGGCACGTTTGCTTTGTAAATTCCGCCTGATTAAATTAAGGCATGTTAAAACAAACGACTCATTCAAGGTTTTAAACAAAACTTGGGAGATATGCGATTGGGTGCTCCCACTATCGTCACTACACAAAATGTAGTTTTTCACTCTCAAACAAAATTATTTTTGTAATTGTTTGTCTCATTAGCATATTTCCATGCTCTGCGTGTGTTCAGATCTTTTGGATTTAGAGTTTTTAAACCATTCCACCATCGTCTCTAACTAAATTAGTTTAATTCGAAAGAAAAACTATTCCAAGGTAGAGTGCAACTTTTTCAACTATTTTTAATCGTCGTCAGGTGACAATTGCTGCTAATTATGACCATCCCATTACGGACCTATTTGCTAATTGTACCCTCCACTTTAGAATGTAATTATTAATCTTGTGTAGCGTTTTATAAATGTCAAATCATGGAAAACATTGGCTAAATTTTAGCGAAATGTTTTCTGCATTAAATATAAGAAAGACCAAGACAGTCCTTTTTTCCTTTTGCATGGAGTTTATGACGAAAAATGTTATTTGTCTTTTTCAATGGTTTTTGGGATACAAAGCATATTTTTAAAGTAAAGAATGATGATATTTCACAGAATAAAATCAGTGTTGTCTACGCAAAAACATAGCGCTGGTCCATTTATGATAAAAACCCATATTGTTATAACATATTTCAAGTGTTAAGGAATACCTGCCTGGCCTTGTGCGTTCTCAATTCCTTCAAAAAATTGGCTTTTTTTTTTAATTTTACAATGCAAAGCATGTTTGTGCGTTGTTTTCAAGTTGAATTTTGAGGCCAAGCAAGTGAGAAGACTTTTGACCCATTAGTCAACAAAATTGTAAGAAAAAAAATTAATTACACTATTTTCGCGTTAAAGTGATGAAATTGATTTCCAAACAATAAAATGTATAAGTAAATCAAGTTTACGGTTCAAAATAATTGAATATCCTAGGAACTTTAGCATTATCAGACCAGCGATCTGGCTATTTGGAATGGCCAAGTGATGCATTTAAACAAAGACATCACCAAGCGACTGCAAATCTTGCCACACTAGATAAACCGAGCCAGGTCTGGAAACATACGGGATAAATCCACCGTTTTTTTCTTAAACTATTTGTTACTGGGTAGTGACAACGAAATATTAGACAAATAATTGTGGAATTCTTTCATTGCCGTCCAAGAGACCGATTTAAGTGGTTTTTGCACTGAATGTCAACCGAGCGCAAGATGAGTTAACATCGAAGTCAGCCCAGTTTCGATGTCAGGTGCCTCAAACAGGACAGTGACCTAATTCCCGACCACTCAGAGGCACCGAATGTGGCTGTTTTAGCATTTAACCAATCAGCTGTCAACTCAAATTAAATTAACCTAAACTGCGCTCCAGCAATTGCCTTTGGGTTGTGGCAAGTACCAGACAAGTCATATTACCGGGTTTTATTTGCTTTCTTCTTAAAACCAAAACGATTTCATGTCATGATGGTTTTCAAGGCAGATTATAAGTCAATAAGAATAGGCCTGTTCGGGCTGAAATCGTAGCTTTTGTTGTAAATTTGCGTTTCTGCAAAAAAAATACCTTTTTGCGCCGATATAAGCCCACCGCCACGACTATGTCTGCAAAATTATAAATCACCCTGTTTTCTGTCGTAATAACACTATCATTCGACGATTCGTACCTTTTTCGCCCGCTCGCTGTTGCAGCATTAGCAACTGTTCTGCCACCCTGGTTACGTCCGGTGCGTGTGTGAGTTTTCGGGCCAGGTGTTGCTGTTATGTCAGGGCGCGTAATTCGAACGATACTCAGGCGGAAACAACTGTTTCATGACTGTGCTTCGATGGACGGTTGTCGCGTGGCTAGCGATAAATAAATTAGTCCCACGATAGCGACTAGTGATCGTGCTATCACTGTTACTGCACCAGCAACAGCAAATACCACGGCTTATAATCACAGGTACCGTAAACCAACATCTTTTGCATATTTTATAGCTCCTGTAAAAGTTTCTAGGTGTGTAAACTTGACAGTTGAGCATTTATGCTCCTCTAACTAGTGGTTTAAATTATATTCACACACCAATACAGCCTTGTGGTCTCATCTGCCAAAGAAAGCATACGTGGTCCCGTTTACCAATCTCCAAATGCCATGTTGTACAATTTTTTTCTAAAAAGGCAGTAAATCTTTCAGCAAATGGTTTTTTAACCAACTGATTTGTTTTGTTAAGCAATTTTCTGAAATGTAACGTTCGATTCTTCCTAACTGATTGCACATAGGGTCTAACTGCACAAAGAAGGTTTTTCTGTTCAATTTGCATATGCACGCTTTTTCACAAGCAGCCCCACATTTAAATGAGACGGCGTCACCCTAGTTGTCAGTTTGATGTGAGTCATTCGAAGCGCCCTTAGGCTGCAAATAATCTTAACATTTCCATCAAAATTAAAGGCCTCGTAAATGCGTCAGACTGTTACAGGCCATTTGACATGTCACAAATTAGGAGATTGTAGTCTCTTGCCGTCATCTGCCGGTGAGTCAGTAACTGGAACTGATGTTTAGCATCTGTTGAGCATTTCCATATCCACATTGTCGATCTTTTGTTTTAAAGACAGCTTCCATATGCACCAAGTAAATTTGCGATTCAGCAGTTATAAATGCAAAGGGGTTTAGCGCGAATTGCTTGACATACAAATAGCAAGGCTTAACAGGCGTGTTTGTTAGTCGTTACAATGCAAAAATATGACAAACTGAATTAAAAATTCTCTTCCACCAGTTTTCACTTGTAGTAGTGGGTTATAAAATGACCAATTTTAGTAAATTCAAAGTTATTAAATGGATAAATTCTTACGCTTTTGACAGTAAGTGAAAAGCCAGGGTACAATTTCGGTTCAGAAGAGGAACGGCTTTTGCCAGAAGCCACGAATAAAAACTTGGGTTTCAAAAATGAAGTATTTCGGTCATGGAATGTGCAAAAGGTGAAGACATCACGCCATAACCTGATTAAATTTATCAAAAATAACTGTTAAATGGGCTATTTTGCTCCTTTTAATTGCCCACTGACCGCACGTATGCGACTCTGATAAGTTGCATGTCAAGGAT